GCCAGCAGCTCTGGGAACAGCGCGGTGCGGTTGGCGTAGGCGCTGCCCTGGTCACGGCCGTCGGCGAAGCTGTGCACCAGCTGCTTGGTGTCGGTCACCTGCCAGGTGAGGTTGAGCTGTGCAAGGCTGAAGTCGGGATCCGGGGAAAAGGAGCAGCGCAGGGTGGTGTCGGCGCCCACCAGGGCCACCACGGGGTCCTCAGGCACGTGGACGTCCAAGGCTCCTGTGGGCGGGGCGATAAGGAGGGCGGGGTGATGAGGAGGGCAGGGTCTCCTGGCCTCCCTCTTCATTTTTCCATCAGTAACTTTTTTTTTTTTGAGACATGGTCTCGCTGGTCTTGAACTTACTATGTAGCCCAGGCTGGCCTCGAACTTGCAGCGATCTTCCTGCCTCAGCCTCACAAGCGCTGAGATTACAGGTGTGCATCACCACGCCTGGCTTAGTACTCACAATTTTTATAAATTGAGAAGGGAAGTCTAACAAAGATGCATATTAATAGCTATTTTGTTTGAATGAGAGAGGATCACAAGTGTTTTTTCTTTTCTTCCTAAATACTAGTTTTGTTTTGTTTTTTTAACAGGAAAGCATACCCATGTTTTAGATATGGTCGTAAGGCATGAACTCCATAAAGTGACAGAAAGCCAGGATGAAAGCCGGTGTGGGAGGGACCAAAGGAGAGGAGACAGTAGATGGGGAGACCGGGTCTGACGCTCTCAGGACAGAATCCATGGAAAGTTTAGAAAGAGGGCGTTTATTTATGGTATTTTCACTGTGGATTAACAGCTAGTTTCTGCAGTGCACAGAGATCTCTAAAGGCCTTAAACTGGTCTTGGATCTCTTCCTCAGGCCCCAGGAAAACTCAGTCCATCTGGGACAGGGTGCCCGGTGGGGGGGACATCTGGGGCGCAGAGCTGCGGTTACCTAAATGAAGCCCTTTCTAGAGAAAAAGCTGCACCACCTCGGCGGGACCACAAGATGGCATCAGAGACCTGGCTTTGTCTTGCCATGGAGGACAAGGTCTATTGATAGAGTGCAATTAAGGTTGGGAGAGAAAGGGGTGAAGTGTCCTGTGCTGTTTTCTACAAGTCAGGAAACCCTTACAGAAGAGGTCGCAGTTAGTCCTCAGTACTCACATTCCCATTTTACAGTCAGGACGTGGAGGCTAGAAAGGAAAAGGAGGTTGCGCTTGGGTCCCAAGGGTGGAAATGAGAGCGGGTTTGGCAGGAGCCCAGGTGGGGGTGGGCACGCTGGACTCGCAATGCCACGGTCTGTGTCGCTGCGCTCACCTGCGAGGCAGAGGCACAGCATGCCCAGGGCTGCGCCGACGCGCACACCCCTGCCGGGGCCGCCCGGTCCACGCCGCATCTTCCTGTGAGGCAGCTGACAGCTGGGCTCTCCGCGGTGAAAGGCTGGCCCAGCCTGCAGGGAAGAGGAAGTGAGGTCTTTGTGGCCAAAGGTTCTCCCCAGGGCCTCTCTCACCAAAGGGCCCCAGGACCAGCTGCCCCCGGGGAGGTCCTGCTGCGCATACCCCAGGCTTCCCTGTTGAGAGATGCTGGTAAGATGCTGGCGGCGGGGAGGGTGCGCAGAGCCGGTGGGCTAACCTTGACCCTGACGATGTGAGTGTCCAAGACGATGGAGGAGAGGGCCCACCCGCCAGCAAGGAGCCAGTGGGCAGAGGAGGAACCAGGCCGCAGCCAGACTCAGGGAGGAACCAGAGCTGTGCACTGCGGCCCGAAGCAGCTAGGAGCCACCACGCGTTCCTGAACAGAGAAACGGCATGGCCAGGGCTGAGCTTCCTATAGCTTAATCTGACAGTGTGTGCTGGATGCATGAGAGGGGCTGGGTAAAAGTGGCTGCATCTGAGGATGCGGACCCCCAGCTGACCAGGAAGGGCCTTCACTGGGGCAGAGAACGTGGAGGGTTCCATGTGAGGCACGGAACAGGCAAGGTTGGTGCAGAAGCTCCCAGGGCAGAAGAGTTTGAGGGGGCTGCCGGGTGCGTGAGGGGGACTTGAGAGATCAAACGCATGTGTGCCGAGTGACCAGGACTGATCAGAAATGGAAGACGCTGGGAGTACGGCTGAGCCTGGAGGCTGGAGTTAGGGCCCTATATGAGAGGCAGAGCTGCGGCCACAGGTCACGCTGGGCCAGGCAGGGCTCCCCGACTTCCCTGGGTCCACCCTACTTCCGACCTGGCCTCTGCTGAGGCACCCAGGCTGAGCAGGCTGCATGCACGTCCGCCCTGTGCCGCACAGCCGCTGCTCCACTGCTCCGCCACCTCCTGCTCAAGCCGCAGGACCAGCGGCCACCGCCGGGTGCTGAGAATAGGAACACCTCGCTTCCCCCCACGCCCCGGACACAAGCTGCACCACCTGGCTGTGCTTTTGCAGGACAAGAAGAAAAAAAAAAAAAGAGTCCAGAGAAGTGACTTTGGCGTATCCTGTCCGCTGCCAGTTGGCATAGCTGAGAGCCCAGTCCTGCCTTCCCCGTCTGCCCTGCCACGGAGCACACCTCCCCCTCACGGAACCACAGCCTCCGTACCAGTCCCTGCACCCTCAGCCGCCCTGGGTGCATCCTGCCCCCGCCCCCCCCCACACACATACCCAAGACATCCAGCGGGGAAACCCTGACAGCCACTTCCTTTCCAGACGCTTCCGGTCCCACATCCCGCAGCCTCAAAGCCTCAGCGCCTGCTGGCTCAGCAGCCTTCCGCACCATTCACAAAGGAACCCTCGGCGGGCACCACATCCTGCCCTGTGGCGAGGGCCACCCCAGCCCACAGGAAAGCCCAGCAGGCAGCTGCCCGCCGCGAGCATCTGTGTACAGGAAGCCCCGGGCTAAGGACCGAGGAGACCCTGCTGCCGTGCTGGTCTCCGCCCCCTCCCCGCCCCCAGCCGCATCCCTCTTCCCTCCACTGGTTTTCCTGTCCCTTACTCGGCCTGCTAACTCCACTTTTCCCACCAACCTCGGTCTCTCCGGGCCTTCTTTTAAGACGGGAATCCGCTCACCGCCTAACCCTGCCCGAGACCCTCCCACGGCTTCCCGCTAACTCTGCGAGTAAACCCAGCTTCCCCTGCAGCCCCTTCTCACCGCTGCTCCACGCGGAAAACCTGTTCCTCCTGCCCCCAGGGTTTCCCACAGAGGCTACTGCTCACGTGATTTATGGGGAGCAGGGGGCACCTCTCCTGATCAGACCTACCGGGGCTCCCCAAAAGCTGAGCTGTCCTTTGCTCCAGCGGGAATACGAGGGGGCTCCCAGGGGTGGGCACTGGGTTTGCTCCCTGGTTCTTTTCCTAAACTTGGGACCCGGCAGCCCACCCTGGGGACTTCTGGGGAATCCGTGGCACCAAGAACTCCCAGCCAACAGCTGGGCCCCAGGGCACCGGAAACCTGATAGGGAAACACCTCTCAGAGGCAAGGTGGCATTTGGGGATCAGAAGGGTGGCCTGGAGACAGGAAGCCAAGTCATAGCCCATCTGGACAGATAGCACCAGTACATTGAGCTGCATGGTACTGGGGCCTCCCAGGGCAGACTTCACGTGGAATGCAGGCCACCCTGACTACCTCACGTGGAATGCAGGCCACCCTGACTACCTTTCCTGCAACGGGGAATCCTCCTCCCCAGGCGGGCCCTCCCTCCTCCTCCTTCCTTCCTCCCCCTGGATCCCAGCCCCAGCCAGCCCCAGGACCTCCCTGGACCCCTGCCAAGAAGACCACAAAGGGTGTTGGCTTTCCAGAGAGAAGAAGAGAGACCAGGCCACCCATACCCAGGGGGCACTGCGGGTGCCTCCAACCTACACAGTGAAACACAGGCGGCCCCAGGATGTGATCCAAGATGCTCCCCCACAAGCCCAAAGCAAAAAACTGGACCAAAACTGGGCTTCGGCCCAAGATGCCCCAGGTTGAGGGTGCCCATGAGGGACTCCCTGCCTCCACCACAGCCACCAGGATCACCTCCCAGCCCCCGCAGGGCTCCTTGGACAACACGTCCCGCCAAGAGGATGAGGAGGTCAGAGAGACCCAGAGCTCTGGAGTTTCGGCTAAGCCCATGGATCCAGCTGTGCCCAGAGACCTGAACTAATCTTTTTTTTTTTTTTCTTTAAGTCAATTTGAGCTAAATCTCTATTATCTGCAAGTGAAGGAGCCCTTGAATACAGTAGATTCAGTCATATTCAGTAATTCATTTATTCACTGCATGCCCAGCAGGGAAGCAATGGGGACAGCTTCGAGTAGGGTAGGGACAGTCAGCATGCGGATAAATCAGAACAGTTCGGTACAGAATACACTGCAGCGAGGGCCACTTGGGGAGATCTCAGAGGCATGACAGCCCAGGAATGGGTCCCGAAGAGCAGTGACAGCTCCCCAGGTGAGGCTGCGTAAGGTGGCCCCTTCCAGGCCTCACGAGACCTGAGGAACCAGGTCTGCTGGGAGCCAGATCTCCTTGGCATGGCAGAAATCAGGCCCAAAGCTCAAGGTTCTAGTCCTAGCGCTGACACTCTGCTGCTTAGTCTTTTTTTGTTTTGTTTTGTTTTGTTTTGTCTTTTTGAGACAAGGTCTTGCTATGCAGTTCAGGCTGAACTTGAGCTCATTTTGTAGCCCAGGCTGGCCTCAAACTTGCAACGATCCTCCTGCCTCAGCCTCCCTAGTGCTGGGATTATAGGTGTGCACCACCACACCCGGCTTGCTGTTCAGTCTTAATGAGGTGACTTCCCCTCTCTGAGCTCAATGATCCCATTTCTAAAAGCCAGCATTTGCTGGAAGCTGATGGAATGTTACCCGTATTCAAGGCTGCATGTATGATTATCCTTAAGGTTTGGGCATAGCTGCCACGCAAGTCACACTGAAACGTGTACAGTGCTGGCAAAAGCCCTTACTGACACCCATCCTCCCCTTGTATAGGGTGTTTAGCTGGGTACAGAGCCACACAGCTGCAGACTACAGATCCCAGCCTCCCTTGCACCTGCATGTGGCCATGTGACCACTGTCTGCCTAATAGGACTGTAGAGGAACTGCTAAGTTTGACTTCTGGGTTATGCCCTTAACGTGGAGGACATCCCCGAAGATGCGAGGAGCCTTCGTGAGCCATGCTGCCAAATGCTGGCACCCTGGGCACCGCAGGGCACCAGGTCAAGCATCCTGCAGGGCTGTGATACCAGCCCTGGATAGGACAGACCCAGACGGTCACATGGCGGAGAAGCAAGCATCTGTCCCAGCATAACTCAGTTATTTTGGGTCTCTCTCTCCGCATCTGAACTAATTTAAGCAGCTGTCCCTCTTCTCATCTCCCTGCACCCCTCCTCGGAACGCCAAAGGAAACCACATCTAAAACAAGTGCCTCAAAATCTCAGCTGACACCATCTCTGCAGGTCACTTAGAGTTACCTGAGCCCAGCTTCAGGGAGACAGCAGGAGGGAAGCTCCGCGGGGGTTGTGTGGAGGGAGAAAAGAATCAAGGACCGTCTGAAGCTAGGGCAAGAAATGGGCAAACACCGGCACACAGGGTAAGGTGGGAGCCCTGGACACGACGCATGTGCAGGAGGAGGGAACCGCCACTGAGCTCCAGCTAGGGGCCGTCCACACCCAGGTGTCCTGCAGGCTCAGCTCAGAACAGAGAATCACCTGGCATTGGTGACAGAACCAACGCTGGGGCCACTGAGGGAGGCGGCAGCAGAAGAGGCCCCAGGACAAGTCGTGGGGCAACTTCAGAAGCTAGCGGTCAGGAATGGGAACAGCGGCTCTCCTGGGCCGCCCCAGCACACCCGCAGCTACGAGTGCCCACCCCGTCCACAGCACACCTCTGGCTCAGTGGGGAAATGCCACCTGCTACTGAACCGAAATCTGTCCCCAGCTCAGCCCACGCCAGTGCTCATTCGGACCTTGGAACACACAGAGCAAGTCTGGCCCCAGTCTTGCAGTCCCCAGCTGATGTAGTTGAGGAGGGGGCGGAGCTTTGCAGGTTTCTCTTGTGACTGGGACAGTTCACTCAGTCGGGATGAACCCTTCCCTATCACGACCATGAACTTTTTATTTAATGTGGCAAAACACCCACCACACAGAGTTGATCACTGTAGCCTGGCTGAGGTAGACAGTTCGGTGGCATGACCGATATCCACAGAGGGTGTACCCACACCGAAACTTTTTGAGGTACTGTTTTGACAGACCCTGATGTGTATGAAATGCTCACTAATTTCTCGGTGGATGTAAAAAAAAGAATGAATGCTGTCTTCTCCCTGCTTCCTATCAGGGGCCCCCAGAGAGAACAAGACCAGGAAAGGTCACAGTGCCGCCTGCCCCTACAGCAAAGTCCATCCACAATTCATCCTACAGGATGAGGAGTGCTCCTTCCCGTGATCACCAATCTGCTGTTCCCATAGGCTACCTTCTTCCCTATAAAGCTGGTTATTTGCCCATTTGAAATCTACCAGCATTCACTCATTTATTCATCCAACAAACATTTATTTGGCACCAATGTATCAAGCATTGTGCTATGTGCTACAAATAGATCTGAAGAGACAGACAGATGCTGCAGACGCTGTCATTCCTCTCTCCCCTCCCATGGTATTGAGAATTGAACCCAGGGTCTTTGCACTGAGCTAAATCTATTTTTTATTTTGAGACAGGGTCTTGCTAAGTTGCTTAGACTGCTTGACATGCA